TGTGATTTCTCTTTTGATCTTCAAGTCTCAGTGGGCTTTAGAGCTACAGAGATCCAGGCATTGTGCCAGAACCACGTGGGCTCACCTGAAGAAGGGCAGGCTCTCATGTACGATGCCTTCATTGGAATGATCATTGGCATTGGTGAAGAGAGGAAGCCAGCTTGTTGGCAGTGAGTCTGTTTCCACAGCAAATCCATGGTTCTGGGATGTTAGAAAGCAGCGCCCGGAGCCCACCAGCAAGCATGGCTGGTTATGGCCTCGGTTCCCGTATCTGGAGGCAGAAACATCCTGAGTCACAGGCCCCTCTCACCCTCCCTTCACTCCTGCACCAAACCCAGCTCTGGCTGATCTCATGATTCTCACCAGCCCCCAGTCCAATTTCAACACTAATAAACACCAACTCTATTCTATTCTCATTCCCAAGACTCCCCATCCCTTGTGTCCCCACCTCATCTTGTAAGTCTTGGCCCCAATGGCTAAGGCCAACAGCTGGTGTCCCAGACAGATCCCGAAGATAGGTCGGGGGTTTGGTTCAGATAAAACACGGCTCAGTGTGGATACCAAGCTGGGATAGGAAGCAGGGTCACCAGGGCCATTACTCAGGAAGAGACCCTCATACTCTGGAGTGGGCAGAAAAGATGATATTAAAATCCATAATTCAACTAGAGAGACATACCATTAGAGCAAAAGCCCTTTTCTCCCCCTTCTTCTCTGCAACTCACGTTGACTTTCAGCAGCTGGACCGAGGGCCAGATCTTCCACCCATGCTGCTTGTCTGAGGTCTTTGTACAGACCCAAGCTACTCACCTTGACTGTCTAACGCGTGGTCCCAGGGTACCACAGTGACCTCTGCCCCACGTTGGCACAAGCATCGGACCTGATTGTACTTGAGGCCACAGTCCAAAGCAAGGATCCGAGGGGTACCCCCTGCATTGAATACCCGTGGAACCTGAGGAGTAAATGGTTGACAGCTGTGAATAGTAGGTATAATATGCCCACAACCTGTACTCTGGAGGCCTTTTCCAGTTCTCCCTCAAGTGTTTACAACCAGTCTGGACACAGTGTAACTACTGTGCTTAGCATGAAACACTCTTCCACTCTATCTCTATACCTTAGTGGAAACCTCCGGCACCAGGGGGCGGGCATTGGGGTCCAAGAAGGGCAGGGTTGAAGGTTCTGTCCCATCCTGGACCAACTTGCCCAGCAGAGACCCTTGCTCTCGCAGCTTCTTAGTCAGCTCCCGAGTGTCCACTCCTGTTGAAACAGCAGACTCTGAGAGATCACTTCCCCAGTGCAGTCATGCAGGAAGTTAAGACTTCAATTCTAGAGCCTGAGTCACCCACAGCTGTCCTCTGGGCATCAAAATCCTGGGCTGTCCTTCCAGAACGACCCCACCATGAAGTATTCTTGCCTCCAAGTATCACATTTGAATTGAACCACCACCCCAGATCTGTTTACAGAAGGTAATACCAAGGGACAAAAGAACACGCTAAATGACAATACAGGAATATTATCAAACAGGTTTTAAAAAAAATTTAGAAAACTGGAAAAATTTTAAACACTCCCTGGATATTTGATATTAAGAAATTACTGTTAATTTTTTAAAGGTATGGTAGTGTTATTGTCATCGTGTTTTTACAAGGGTTCTTTTTTTATAGATATTGAACTCTAGGGAGATGAAACAATATTATATCTGAGATTTGCTCCAAAATAATCCAGAAGTTGTAGTAGTGGTGATGAAATAAGTTTAGCCCTGAGTTGATGAAACTGGGGATTCATTATCCTATTCTCTCCTTTTGCATGCTTGAAATTTCCCATCTGAGTGAGAGCTCAGTTCCTTCCCCCAGTCTAAACCTTTCAAATCAGGTACATTCTATCACAACCCTGGACTCAAGTCCCAAGGGTCCACAGAGAACTTCTCTTAATTCTTTCCACCTGGGTACCTATGTTCCCTCCAGACCCAGCAATGCTTGCACCATACCTTGCAGGCCAGGTATGCCATGCTGTTGCAGCCACTCGTGCAGAGTGCAGGTGGCACTCCAGTGGCTGGGTGTGGGACAGCACTCTCCCACCACCAGTCCTGCCACGTGGATCCCCGAGGATTCAAACCACTGTTGATGGAAGGAGGAGACGGTGAGGAGCCCAGGGCCACATAACGAGCCATCTTTTCCCATTGGAAGGCCATGGACCCTGTACTTCAGCCACAGTGAATGACCTGTCATTCCTTTAACAAGCCAAGTACCTCATGCTTCTGCCTTTTATCACCAATGCTGCCTCCCACGTGAAACACTGAACACATGGGCCTGGGGGGCCTGATGGCACTGATATGACAGTGATAACTGAAAGGACATTTGCCTTTCCCTCCCTTTTTTTAAATCTCCTTTTCCATGAAGTCACCCCTATTCTCACCCACTGCAGCTGTGCCTCCTTAGAATTCATCTAAGTTCACTTTTACTTCCACTTGTCTTGTTATTTACATTGTATTACCAATGTGTTCATTTGTCTTCATCAGAGAATTTTGAACTCAAGAGCAAGATACCTGACATATGATAGCAGTTAATGAAGTTTACAGAGGGCCCACTGCACGCCAGGTATTATAACAGATGCTGGGGGGCAAGCATGAGCACGAATAGACAAGGTCTTGTCTTCAGGATGTTAATTTGCTACTCAGGGAAGCAGAAAATTAAGGTAGTGTAGATAACAAGATCATATTCTCAGAGTGTGATAAAAACAGTACAGAACAGGAAGGGGCATAGCACCTTAATAAAAATAAAGACTCAGGGTAGAATATTAGGCATGATTATTACACCCCCTCCATAAGGGATTATCATTTTTAAAAGAAACATATTTGTTACTCAATACAGAAGCTTATAATAACTAAGTAGAGAAACAGGCTGTTTATTGGGGAGGAAGTGGCATATTTAAATTACATCTGCTTTGTGGTAGAAGGTTTAAGAAAGATGAATGTTGAGATTGTTCTTTAGGGATGTGAAGGCTAGTCTGGCAGAAGCTTCCATGGCTAGATGGTCGAATCTGCACTTGGACATACATTTACGGCATATATGCTGCAAAAGCATCAGTGGTGGGTTTGTGGCTCCTGGAGGCTTTACTCATCTTGGTTCTGTTAGGGCCTCAACTTTGCAAGTGTATACACTCAACTTTGACATTGTATCTGGAGTTGACAGAGCTGAAGACTGACGTAAATTAACCAAGATAATGCATCATAAACTAGAACACAGTGAATTCATAGGTCGTGATGAGGAGTGGTTCTTTCCGTAATAACAGGCATGTCTTTTACCTAGAGTTTCTTCTCCCAAGTGTCAGGGTGAGTGCTGAAAGCATATGAAGAATTAAAGGCTCAGTAAGCCTAGTATCAGAATAAAATGAGTTTTGAGGAATACTGCACTGAGGCTATGGTGACTAAGATGAACTTGTGTTGGTTTGTTTTTTTACTTGAACTCTCAGAGGGCAACTTAGTTTCCAAATTCCAGAAGAGGAACAGGAAAAACTTCACTGAGAAGGACACTGTTTTCTTATCTACATGTTAAGAATTCTACTGAAAAGTGGTAAAAAATGAGGCAAGGTAAGTAAAGCAGGTTTAGATGATAATCAGCTTAATTGGTTTGGTAGGGAAACTTGGACTTACTATCATTGAGAAGGGTGTGACCCTGTATTCCAATTTCTTTCCCATTAAATTATACACTCTTAAAGCTTACCTCTCATCACAAAAATCTCATCGGAGCTCAGACTCTGGCTTGGTCCAGCACTTTGTGCCTCTCCAGGCACCTAACAAGTCGCGCACAGGGCCTGTCTAGCACTTCAGTGTGTATCAGCTTTCTCCAGAATGACTAGCGGAATGGCAGTGTCTTCACTAACAGTTAATAGCTACTGATTCGAAAAGGAATGTAGAACAAGCATTGGTGTTGGCTACCTTGCTGAGCCCGAACTCATCCACTTCATCTGGGGGGATGCCGTAGTTACCGATCAGGGGGTATGTCAGCACTAAGATCTGTGCTTTGTAGGACGGGTCAGTCAGAGCCTCGGGGTAGCCGACCATACCGGTTTGAAACACTGCAAGAAAGAGGCAGAGCTGGGGCTTAGGCAGGGCATCCTTCGGAGCACTGCCCAGAGCGATGAGAATCCCCCTGGGCCGTAGGGATACGGGAAGGTGGGGGGGAGCGGGCTAGGGAATGGCGGGGGAGGGGGTGTGCAGGCGGGAAAATGGCGGGGTCTGAGCAGAGCAGGCTGGGCAGAGAGGGGCATCAGAGAGGCAGATGAGGTCGGCAGCCAGCCCGGACTTGCTTACCCACTTCCCCGGCAGTCGACACAGCGGCCCCAAAGGGCTGGCCCCGCAGGACCGACCCGTCCTCCAACACCAGGGCGGCCATGGGAACGAAGCTCAGAGGCTGGGGTGATCACAGAGAAGAGGGAAAGCGCAGCAAGTCCCGGTCGATGCTAGAACCAGCAGAGGACTGCGCGCCCAGAGTCGATCCACGTGGCTCGCCGCGCCGCTGTCTAGAGCCAAGCGCTGTGTAAGCCGCGCAGGAGCCCAGGCGCTCTGGACCGCGGCAGACTGCGGCGGCGCAAGCAGCTGGCGGCGTGAGGGGCGGGGCCGGGAGCGTGAGGGGCGGGGCCAGGGCGGCTAGCGGGTTGGGTCACCTCTTACCAAACGCGAAGGTAAGGGAAACCTGTGAAAACCAGCTCTCCCCCGAACCAGCCTTTCCCACCCCAACCAAGAGACAAGAAGAAAAAAAGAAAAACTGTTTATTATGGTCAACAGCACAAATATGAACTGGTACTAGTCCACTCCCGGCCTGGATGCCTCTCCACTCCCGGACTGGATGTCTACAACACACCAGGGCTGTGCAAATTTCCATCTTCCTTCCATCGGAGGCCTCTGCCTTGGGAGGATCCACTGATGAATGATGTCTAGGAAGCAAATCTCCCTGACTCGGTTAAGATGGGGATGATCTTTAGGTCAGTAGGAAGACCTGTGTGGTTCATGAAGCCTTGGCTTTTCGGCGTTGAGTCCCCCAAAGAAGGATGGAGATGGATAAGGTGGTGGATCCCAGAATACCAAAGAACATGAACAATGGGAAGGAGCCCTGTGAATAACAGACCAAAAAGAACTTCATATAGGGTTACATGAAGGGCTTACAACCTAACATCCAGTAATTTCCTAGCATATCTGTCTCCTCAGCCAGGGCAGTTTTCTTCTAGTTTCCTTCTCTAGGTGCTTTGCATCAGTTGCTAGTCTTCTTTTAAAGAGGTATCTATGCATATCTCTTATCCCTAATTCCCTGGTGACTCAGATGGTAAACCATCTGCCTGCAATGTGGGAGACCTGGGTTCGATCCCGGGTCGGGAAGATCCCCTGGAGGAGGAAATGGCAACCCACTCCAGTAGTCTTGCCTAGAAAATTCTATGGATGGAGGAGCCTGGTGGGCTACAGTCCATGGGGTCGCAAAGAATCAGCCACGACTGAGCGACTTCACTTTTATCCCTAATTAGGAGGCCTCATTCCTCACCTGGCGCATACACTTGTAGCCATGGAAGCCATCAGCACAAACACACTGCAAGAGACCTGGACCATCAGGTACACAAGATCCATTCTCAGGACATATTTCTGAGAGCCAGAGAAAAACAGAGAGCATCACTGGATTTCATTAGGTATATTTCCCATATATCTCCTTCAGCTTAGATTCTCTCAACTATTTCTAGGTCAAAGGTACAGTGGAAAGAAGACTACAGATAATCAGAACACTGTCATGATAACAAAATAATTTTAAGACCTTTCTTTCCAAAGGGTTAAGACTTCTGAGCTATGACAAACCTAGACAGCATATTAAAAAGCAGAGACATTACTTTGCCAACAAAGGCCCATCTAGTCAAAGCTATGGTTTTTCCAGTAGTCATTCATGTATGGATGTGAGAGTTGGACCAAAAAGAAAGCTGAACGCCAAAGAATTGATGCTTTGGAACTGTGGTATTGGAGAAGACTCTTGAGAGTCTTGGATTGCAAGGAGATCAAGTAGCCAATCCTAAAGGAAATCAATCCTCAATGTTCACTGGAAGGACTGATCCTGAAGCTGAAGCTCCAATACTTTGGACACCTGATGCAAAGAACTGACTCACTGGAAAAGAGCCTGATGCTGGGAAAGACTGAAGGCAGGAGAAGAAGGGGGTGACAGAGGATGAGATCGTTGGATGGCATCACCAACTCAATGGACGTGAGTTTGAGCAAGCTCTGGGAGTTGGTGATAGACAGGGAAACCTGGCATAGCACAGTCCATGGAGTCGCAAAGAGTCGGACACGACTGAGCACCTGGACTGAACTGAACACTTCGGAAACCTGAACAAAAGGCACTTAGGCAATTTTACCATCCTGATCTAAAGTAGAGAATACAAGGGAGGAGGGGTAGTTTCCAGAGGGGTGGAGATGAGACAGCATACCTGGATCCTCAGTGCTGTTGCAAATATTCCTTTGTCCTTCGCAGCTTTGGTTGTTTACATAAAAAGTGACAGTATCCCAGGCATTAATGCCTCCAGGACAGTTGACATCTTGTGGCAGTATCCTGAACACAACACAGGCAGTCATAATATGCAGACCAAAGTTGCTGAGTTCATAGCACTGCTTCTCTTTGGTTCTCTCCCCCACCCCACACTCTTACTCACAGAGTCTGGAGCTGAGTAAAGCCATGGAAGGTGTTGACCAAGTCACCCTGGAGGGGGTTTGCCTGCAGGTCTCTGCAAAGCACACACTGTTAGCACTGTGCTCTAGGAAAACACTTTACTTCCATTCACACATCTTTCTGGATGGTAATCCAGTTCTTATTCTGAGTTGTCCAAATGTAGACAATATTCAAACATCTTTTTAGCAGTCCATCCTCAAAGACTTTCCCATCAACCCTATGCCAACGTCACCTTTTGGGAAGGAGGATAACTAATAACTTACATGATGGTAGCAGTATGTGCTTGAGGAAAGTTTGGACCAGGGTCCTTCAGAGAGCAGTTCTGGAGATCCAGCCTGAGGAAATAAGGTAATTAGTGAAACTATGTATCTTTCTCCTTCACCCAGGGTAAGCTATTACAACCCCCTTTACAGCTAATATTCATTGAGCACACCTATGTCAGGGCCACAAACTAGGCACTTTGGTAGATGTTTTAATCCTGCATTGTCCAATTAAGTAACCACTAATACATGCAGCTACTTAAATTTTAAAAATTCTGTCCCTCATTCACACTAGTCACATTTCTTCAATATCTATTGCTGTCTATTCCTTTACTTAATGGAATAGTGCCTTAATATTTACTTAATGATGAAAAAAAAATATTTACTTAATGACTACTAACTGCAAATATTACTTAAGCCTAATAACTGCAAAAATTGGGAGAATTAAAAATAACATTCAGTATCTTAGCTTGCAAGTTGTTTATAATGCACTAGGGGAACAAGACCATCACCCAAAATAAAAAATATATAAACATTAAATTGCAATGTGAGCAGTTTATAAAATTAACTTGAGTGGTACAGACAGTAAGGATTAGAGGAAGTGAAAAATTAAAAGGTCTTACTCTGGCATTTAGTAGTACAGAGCATTCACAAAAGATGTTGGAATTAAAGGACAGATATGTCCTAATTTGATGGAGGAAGGCAAGTTTAGGTAAAGAGAGAGGCTTGAACAGAGAAACAAAGGTGGTCTGCTTTTGGAGGTAGAAGAGTCTGGCTGAAGCCAGACTCTCCTGGAGGGTTTGAGTGGACAACTAATTGAAAGTAATGTTGGAAAGGTAGGTTGGGCCAGTCTGTGATAGTTCCTGGTTTGTACTTTATCCTAGGGCCACAGACAATTATAAGTTTAATTTTAAAGCCAGAGAGCAATAGTGGAAAGAAACCGGTTTTCTGAAAGTTCTATATAAATAAGTATTTAGATAGATAAGGGAATGAGGAGAATGGAAGCAAGACAAGTGACTTTCTGAATCTGAAGTGAGGGTGCTCTGAAAAAGGAAATGTTTAATAAGGATCTATTATATTTTCTCCACATATCTGGAGAAAAGTCAAAGGAAATTAAAAGAGATCTAGTTTGGGGAGACACCTGCATAATGGTTGAAGCTGTAAGAATAAGTGGATTCTCAAGAATGTGAGGGGAAAACAATGCAGGAAGTAATCTGTATAAGGTGAAAAAAGAGAAATTTGCCTTAAATATGAATTAATGAGAAGAGGAAGAAAACCATATTTCATAGTGTCCTGGAGGCCAAAGGAGTCATTTCATGGAGACACTACAGTAAATAAGCCAGAGAGTTGATAATAAATGAAAGAAATAAGGTTAAAAAATGCTCAAAATTATGACTTTTATGCATTTTTCAACCAGGAAGAACCACAGGGTTGTTTAAAGTGTTAGTCACTCAGTACATGTCCCATGCTTTTCAACCCCATGGACTGTAGCCCGCTAGGCTCCTCTGTCCATGGGATTCTCCAGGCAAGAATACTGGAGTGGGTTGCCATTTCCTTCTCTGAGTGATCTTCACAACCCAGGAATCGAACCCAGGTGTCCTGGACTGTAGGCAGATTCTTCACTTTGCCAAAAACAGATTTAAAAGTCTGAGACTCATGGTTTAGATGCCTCAAAAATATGTACGAATATTTATCCCCAAAGCCAATCAGGCAAGCCTTGAAGAATCCGGTTTGGGAACTCTTTTCCAGTACCCAGGGAGGTCTTCTCCTCCCTCACCCCAGGATGGTGCCTTCCCCATTCAGGCAGCAGCGGGCTTGCAGCGTTAACTCTGGTGTCCGCTTGCAATAAAGAGCCACTTCTGACAAATTTTGCACTCTCCCTGGACACTGGGTGCATATCTGTAAAAGAGAGAAAACTATTAGAACTCCAGAAAGAAAAGCCAAGGAAAAAACAAAAAACAAAAAACAACCGAGGCTCAAACGTTAACTGCCAGTATACGTTCCAGAATTCCTCTAACACAGGGCCTTTATGTCAGATTTACTAGAAGACATATTTCTTCCCCTGCAACCAGGCGCCAAAACAGCGCACCAAATTTCTGTACGGATCTTATCCAGGGAAGGATCTCATTTCTGAGAATTACTATTCGAACACATTTATAATGCCCTCTCCAATGACTTCTCAACCTGCCAGCCCCATGTGACCGGGTGTAAAAGGACTGCAGGTAGACAAAGAACTCATCAAGCATTACAGAAAGTAAAGTCCTACCAACGCACGCTAGCCAGCGGCATTAGAAGGCCGCGAGCTTGCAGAACGGCCGGAGGACTCATTCGTGGAAAGAACTTATAGTTATTCGAATATTAAGGAGAGAGGAGGTCAAATTTCAAACGTCTTTGGACGTCAGCAGGGCGAAAGCGACAGCGGCGTTCAGTACTCGGGAGTGGGAGCCGGCTGGGTTACGGCTAGGGAGGCCCCAGGGACGAAATCGGGGCTGCGGCAGGCAGGGGAGAGGGGAGAGCCGAGGGCCGGCGAGCAATTCTTTTTCAACCCAACCTTTAATCTGCTTCAGTACCTCGGGTAGCGCCAAAGCCCTTGCCACGCTCAGAACGAAGAGCAGGGCTGCAGCCCAGGGAACCAAACTCAAAGGACTGCCGAGCCCGCAAAGGACCATTTTTCGCTCTCTCCGACCTTCTCCACTGATCGCGAGACTTGCGAGTGAGGCCCGCCTCCCACCGTGTCACGCCCCCGTTCGGGGCGTGGCCTGGCCCGCCTGGCTAGTCAGGCGGGGCAGCTCGGTGTCGGGGGAGTAGGGGTCGGTTAGCACTAGTCGCCGAAGTCAGCGCATCTTTTTTGCTGTTGTTGGGCGCCCCAGTCCTCTTTCGGGGGGCTGACCACACCCTTCTCCCCCCTTAAGCGAAGGCCTCCCTGCCACCTCTTTCTCAGCGCCGCGTTCCATGCGCCCGGACGTCGGGGTAGCGTCTCTGTAGTAACTCGGGGTTAATCCATTTGCCCACAGTAAACATGGCGGCGCGGGGACGGGCAGGGGGCGGGACTGCGCTGTCACCCGGCCTGGCGTGACTTGGCCCGCTCTCCCGTGGAGGCCGGACCCACGTGTGGAGATCGGGCAGGTGGGCCGGTCGAAGGCAGTCCGTGAAGGGGTGGGTCGGAGCACAGAGGCTCCGGAGTGTGGCGTCAGGGCGGGGAGGGACAGGGAGGAGTGGAGAGATGAGGGGCGGGATGGGCCGGCTCCTATACTGAAGTCCGGGGAAAGTGAGGTGCCGGCGGCGGGGTGGTAGTGCTGTGTCACCTCGCGTGTGGAGGTAAGGAGAGAAGTCAGGAAATAAAGAGTGTAAGGGTGATGGTGGAGCGAAGGGCGAAGGGCAAATCCTGTCGGGAGGAGAGGAGCTTGGGGACGCTCGGGGCACCCTGTCCCTTTCTGCCCAGTCCTGAAACCACGCGGCGTCCGGTGCTCTGGCGAGGAGGTGGAAGCAGGATAGATGCTCCCATAACTCCTCATCTCCTTTGTCTTCCCAGAAAAGGAGCGATGCAGATCTCGGGAAGAACGACAAGACCTTCTTAGTCTTGGCTGGGCTCTGGAGGTAAGGGAAAGATGAGGGCTGTCCTGTGGTGGCACGAGGCCCCGACCGAAGGGCGCCGAGGGAGCCCTGTGCCGAAAGGGACTGAGTGTGCGCTTTGGTTAGGGCCAGCAAAAACTCATCAAAGCTAACCAAAGCTCGTCTTCTAGCCTGGCTTCCCTTCTACCTACCCCTAGGTGTCTGGAATCTCCTAAAAGCATTTACTTTCAGAGGGCTGGCACATTTACTAAGGCATTAGTTACTTACTAGCGTTTTAATGGGAGAAGGAAATGGCACCCCACTCCAATATTCTTGCCTGGAAAACCCCATGGACGGAGGAGCCTGGTGGGCTGCCGTCTATGGGGCCGCACAGAGTCGGACACGACTGAAGCGACTTAGCAGGAGCCGCAGCAGCAGTGTTTTAATGAGGACCTCTAGAGCGACTGAACTGAACTGACAGGCTTTCAGACCTTGCGGGATTCTAGGCACAAGGACAGATTTTGAAGGCATCTTTTGGGGAAGGTTGGTCCTCCGGTGGCCCATTTGCCTTTTGTAGGAGTCAAAGCAATTCAGTTTGCTACCAAAGTGAGAGTGTGATTAGGGTGGTTAGGAATGATTCTCTTTCTTGTCTGTGTGTATCGGATTTTTTAAAAGAGCCCCCTACAGCCTGCTATTTGGTGCCCTATGTGTTAATTTTAGTGAAACAGCTTTTCTGTTACTTTTGGCACCTCTCAGAGAGAGGTGAGTTTTTTAAAGGTTAGATGGTCCTTGTCCTGCTCTTAGAACCGTGTCTGGTGAAGTTTTTGTTACTGGTCAGGTTTTTCCTGTCTTGCCTGGCTCTTTCTTCAGCCAGCCAGGAGGGTTCTGTGCATCTCATGCAAATGGAATTCTCAGGAAGCCCTGCCAGTTTACCCCAGCAGCAGAGGGTCTCCATTTCTGTACATCTTGTTTTCCATTCTATACCTTGACCTTCCTTCCTTTCTGCAACTACCTGCCTAGCTATATACATATACAACCATTTACCAGTGTACATTGTTATTTATACACAGCAGACATATTTCCTCTTACTCTCTGGTAGTTCCCATCACCTCTATCATAGCAATGAAAAACTTGCCAAAGGGGAGTGAGAAAACTTCAGATGTTGCAATGTGCAAAGGCCCCAGGCATCTTTAGGTTAAACCTGAGTGGCCTGTTGGGAACATTGTTCTGGAGACTCATGTTGGTGACTTAGTAGAACATGTGATTCAAGAGTTGCCAACTTGTTTTCCCCTCTTCATTGGCCCTAGAAAATTCAGGGTTCGGGTTTGGTCTGCATGAAGCCATATCTTGCCAGGCAGGCAACATGTGTCCAAGAACACCGGGTAGGAGAGCCGGAAGACAGCGAGGCTGATCTTTCTCCTAGTGGGCAAGAACAGAAGACTGATTTATGTTAATCTGTCTCTAGATTAGTTGAAACCTGAACTTTGTTCCAGGAATGATTGACAGCAGTTTGTAACACTCTGCTCCAGCCCTGGTTCAGGGAGTAGAGAAGGAGGGGCTTCTGGTGAATTACCTGTCACACCTACTGACAATCCTCTCATTTCTCTGTTGTTTTATATCATGCTGTCTAACCTTAGAGAACTAAAGAGTGTTCATATAAAGTCTATTACCTGAGAGACATGGTGTTTTGAAAGGTATACATATTATTTATCATTGCTAATAAGTACATAGCACAGTGCTGTGTTTTATAACAGGTGTTCAAAAAATGTTAATGATCATCATGTTAGGCTTTCTAAATTGACAGGTCTGTTGGTAAATGAGGGGGTTATGCTAGTGATCTCTTAAGATTCCTTTAAGATTTGGCATACTGGGATCTGGTCGTTGTTCTGAGGATAATGGTATTTAATATATTCTCTAAGGATTAGTATTTATTGTGCAGGAGTTAGAACAGCAACTTTCCCATCTCTCAGCAACCCTTTTGCAATTCCTTCTGGCATGCAGTGCCAAGTGGGACTTGCAGCAAAAGTCTAATCCATCTAAGAATGCCGTTGAATGTGAGCTCCCTGCTCTCCCCTTCTGGAGTCTCTAGGGCTGAGCTGGAGTTTGGGGGTTGTAGGGTGATAGGGCCATTTGGACTGCAGTGATTGGTTCCCTGAAAGGGCTGGAACAAATAGCTGCTGAGTTTCACTCTACCTTCAGCTCTTCTCACCTCTGCTCCTTAGAGACCAGGCCCTCAGGCCCTCAGCCTCCCTTCAGCTCCAGACACGCAGCTTCTCCAGGCAGCCTTGCTTCACAGCAGGGGTTGCTCCTCGAGGTAGGTGTCTGCTCCAGTGGGATAGTACCACTTTCCCTGACTGTTTCTCTTGCCCACCCCTGCCCCAGCTCCCTGGTTAGCTAGCTTCTCTCTGAAGTGCCCCTGAAATTGTAAATCTGAACCCCTGGTTCCAGCATGTTGGCCTCTCACTTTTGAACCCAACCTCTCTTCCTGGATCTGCTACTGACTGCCGTGTTACAGGTAGAGGAGCTGAGAGGTGGTTGGCAGGGCTTTAAATAAGTTGGGGAGAACAGAGTGGTTGGCCTAGGGATGCCTGAAAGGGAATTTGAGGCTGCCATGGAGGTGATCTTCCTGGTGGTAAGTGCTGAGAAGGCATGCTGTTCGGAAGGTAGCACTGGGGATCATGGAAGGTGGGGCCTGAGGCTGGGAGAATAGAGGAGGCCGTGGTTTCAATAGTCTCTTCTTTCCTCAAGTTTCTTCTTCCCTGCTGGGTGGAGGCGCCAGGCTGGACTCTGCTGGCTTAGTACATTGTAGTGACTGAGTCTGTGCCTTCCGGCAGGGGATGGGGCAGGAAATTCTGAGAAGAAACTAGAGGGTGGGCTAGAGGTGGTTTTTCTTTTCCTGCTAGGGTGAAGACATTAGAAGGTTCTTAAGTTTCACAGTTGTGTATACCCAGAAAGGTCTTGGCCAAATAGTTACCTCCTGGCTCTCTCAATCTGCTGCATCTTCCCTTTCCTCTCCGCCCTACTCAACACATATATCAGTGCCTCCAGGCCTTTTTGGTTGCCCTGGGCCCTGGCTGGGCAAATCTGATGGGTGTGGAATGCACAAGCCCAAGGGTGGGTGGCCATGAAGGCAGGAGAGGCCTGCCTGAGAGCCAGTTTCTTTGTAGTTCACCCTGGACAATGTCACTTGATGGTGGAGGAGGACTGTGAGACGTGGTTGGAAGTCAGGTCGTAGCCACTTGCCTGTCACTGACCAGCTGAGTGGCAGCCCAGAGCCCAGGAAGAGCAAGCGGCCGCAGGTCACAGACTCAGAGAGAATATGAGTGTGGGGGTGAGCACCGCCACACCTCTCCCTCCAACCTCAGACACCAACGTGGTCACGTCCACCTTCAGCCTGGTGGACTATGTGGTCTTTGCCCTGCTGCTGGTTCTCTCCCTTGCCATCGGGCTCTACCATGCCTATCGTGGCTGGGGCCGACATAGCATCGGCCAGTTGCTGTTGGCAGACCGCAAAATGGGCTGCCTTCCTGTGGCACTGTCCTTGCTGGCCACCTTCCAGTCAGCTGTGGCCATCCTGGGTGTGCCGTCCGAGATCTACCGATTCGGGACCCAGTATTGGTTCCTGGGCTGCTGCTATTTCCTAGGACTGCTGATCCCAGCACATGTCTTCATCCCCATCTTCTACCGCCTGCATATCACCAGTGCCTATGAGGTAGGTAGGGAGGAGCACATGGGACCCTCAGGGGCAGGGGTAGAGAAGGAACCAGGCACACAGGGGTCTGGGCCCCTCAGCTCTGCCTGATGAGAGGGGCAGGGATAAATGCATCGTGTGTCTAGGAGTTCACTGTGGTGAGGTCGGGCAGGGTAGGAGCTTGGGGAGAAGGGTGCTGTGCTGAGGGGGGCCCAGAGTGGATATGAGTTGGCTATTTCCTCTGTTCCTGGGCTTCCTGAAGGAAGTTGTGTGTGATTTGTTGGGGATGGGGTGGGGAGGAATGTGTTTTTGTTTTTGTTTTTAATCTACTCCTACCTAGTACCTGGAACTCCGCTTCAATAAAGCTGTGCGTGTTTGTGGCACTGTGACCTTCATCTTTCAGATGGTAAGTGGAATGAGGATAGA